AATTATTTTACTGGTAAATTTTACTGTCAAAGTGGCATGAACTATAAACGCAAACACTTTAAAAAAAGAAATTTAAAATCAAACTCAGCGTTGCTTTGGCGCGTTAAATCATTAACCTTTGCATTAGTTTTGTGTGAATAATTCATGTATATATATATATATATATATATATATATATGAAGAAATATAGTCTTAAGATGTGCTTTATTTATTGATAAAGTGCTCAATATCAGAGATAGAGTGTGTATAAAATAAAAGGGAATAGTAGGTAACATTAGAGGCGACAGTCTGTTTCATGCTAGATGCAATCGTTAGGCCACAAGCATGAAACAGACTGTCGCCTAAATGTTGACTTCTATATTCACTTTTATATATATATATATATATATATATATATATATATTAATTAATGAACAACTAGGTAATCCGTATGGGTAACCCTAAGGAGGATAAAATCCAGAGAGCTCAATGTAAATCCAGAGCAAATAATTTAAATAAAAACAGACCACTTTAAGGTTCCATGTAATAAATTATTTCACCACGGCCCTTAAGTAAAGTCTGATGATCCGCAGTCCTTTTAAAAGCTGTGGTGAAATAATTTATTACATGGAATCTGAAAGTGGTCTGTTTTTATTTAAATTATATATATATATATATATATATTTATATATATATATATATAATATTAGTGGTCAGTATATATATATATATATATATATATATATATATATATATATATATATATATATAGATAAATTTTCAAGAGGATAGAATCCAGGTAGAACTCAATGTCCAGGAGAGAGTGAGAATATAATATAAAAGGCTCAAACAAAAATATTCCATAGTTATAATTTATGACATTGGAATCGTAATATCACGATCCAATTCATCAGACCTACAAATTCAAAAAGAAATCGGAAAATATAACTCCGGGTATAAAAAATAGAATTTTAGTCATTATATTATATTTTGGTTATTATATTATATACTTACCGGGATTCTATCCTCTTTGAAATATATATATATATATATATATATATATATATATATATAAAAAAAAAAAAACGGAATCGGAATCACGGTCCAATTCATCAGACTTACAAATCTTTCGTATATTACGGATATAAGACAACTCTATCTTAAATACTATAAATGAACTTTTTAATATGCCTTAAAGTTAATTTTTTATTTAGTTTTAATTTTGTTTTGTTTATATTGGACGGGTCTGGGCTCTTTCTTTCTTTTCACATTTTTTATTCTATATTTCTCTCTCTCTATCTATCTATCTATCTATCTATCTATCTATATATATATATATATATATATATATATATGCATCGCCGCTACAAACCAGTAATCTAATAACCTTAGAAATGCTACCCTCTTCCCACTACTTAATTCACTTGAAATAATTCTCTTTGCCTGTGTCCAGTAGGTACAGCTTTTTCCCATAAAACTAACGCGTGACTATTACTGTAGTGTTATGTTTTCATTTATGATAACGTTTGTTGATTTTGACTTTGAAGTTTGGTCGTTAGTATTTGACCTCAGGTGGTGTTAAATTGCAGTGAATATACGACAATTTCTAAATTTGAGATAAGAACCACTTTCAAAAAGATCTGTCGATTCGATTACACGAGAAAAAAAAATAACACAACTTAATGGTTGTATCGCAAGTCAGCCTTTACAAACCTCGAATGTATTTCTGAATTGCTTTCAAATTCACCATTTGATTGCAATTTTCACTTCTTTCTCTCTCTCTCTCTCTCTCTCAAACACACACACACACACACACTCTATCTCTCTCTCTTTCACTCTCTACTGTGCGCTTTTTGAATCTGTCGATTTGTTCGTGTGTGCACGATGATGAGTGTTATCAGTTTAGTTACAAGTGTTTTTTGATCAGATTCCAAATAGTTGTTGTATAGCCTGACATTGACACAAAATGCTGATCAGATTCAAATTAGTTGTTGTATAGCCTGACATTGACACAGAATGCTGATCAGATTCAAATTAGTTGTTGTTGCCTGACATTGACAGACCAAATTAGTTGTTGTATAGCCTGACATTGACATTGACACAAAAAAATGCTGATCAGATTCAAATTAGTTGTTGTATAGCCTGACATTGACACAAAAAATGCTGATCAGATTCAAATTAGTTGTTGTATAGCCTGACATTGACACAAAATGCTGATCAGATTCAAATTAGTTGTTGTATAGCCTGACATTGACACAAAATGCTGATCAGATTCAAATTAGTTGTTGTATAGCCTGACATTGACACAAAATGCTGATCAGATTCAAATTAGTTGTTGTATAGCCTGACATTGACACAAAATGCTGATCAGATTCAAATTAGTTGTTGTATAGCCTGACATTGACACAAAATGCTGATCAGATTCAAATTAGTTGTTGTATAGCCTGACATTGACACAAAATGCTGATCAGATTCAAATTAGTTGTTGTATAGCCTGACATTGACACAAAATGCTGATCAGATTCAAAACAGTCACTGGCCTGAGAAAGTGGCTGTATTGTTGACAAAATGTTTAAAATGTTTAAAAGACGTACGTCCTTGATATTTTCCATAATTGTGTGTTAGTAATTTGGCAGTAGCCATTCTGAATAGCCATTCTGAATAGCTAAAGACAAAATTTCTCTACTCGGTAATTGAACTTATATCATTATGGCTGTTTGCTAAATTTAAAAAATTAAATATGAGTTTAAACTTGTGAATGCGTATCAGCGTTTCGTTAACTGAATTTAAGCGGTGGTTTTGAAATATAGAGCTTTCGATTCACGAGGACTAATCAATTGACAATTTATAAAATTACAAAGTTTCTTTTATTTTGTCTTCGGTGGGGTGTCTATAACCTGTCTGTAATCATTCTGTTTGCTTTTTATCTTATTAGGCACTGAAATGAAATCGGCGTTTCTTTCTTTCTTTCTTTCTTTCTTTCTTTCTTTCTTTCTTTCTTGCAATGATATTCTTCATCTATTCATCAGTTTCTGCATGTGTATTTTTTAATAATTTCCCCCTAAGCAAAGCTATAATGCCATTAAGACGCAAGGGTTGAGGATACTGGGAGTGAGAGAGAATGAAAAGTCTTTAGAAGAAACCAGAAACCCAGTCCTAAATCCCAAACAAGGGATAAAAGACTTGGGAGGGGCGTGAAACGTGCGTTATTGTTAAATAATAATTTAACAGACTATTATTTTTTGGAGGAAGTGTATCGCTGCTCCGATTTCCTGACGTTGACCTTTGAGGTCAGATGGGTGACAAAACAAAGAATTCGATGTTGACTGGCTGAGCCAGCGTGACAACGATAGATAGAGAAAGGATTTTCAGGGAGTCGAGATTTAACCATCAAACAATGTAGACGTGTTGACTTTCCTGTTTGAAACGACTCCCCAGTGGTGGGAGAGAGCGACACCATTGGCTAGTTCGAAGATGTATACGTCAATGTTAATAAAATAGCTAAGCTCAAATTCTTTGTGTTGAAGTTCTGTTATCTCCGAACCAAAACAACTAGCGTTCACCCGCCAAGAAGACTAGCGAAAGAAAAATGCAACATTATTATGAAATTGAAACCATTGTTCAAGACCACTCCCACCAAGGGGCCAAGCAACAATAGGCGAACCTATCTACTCCTATTGAGGCAAGGAAAAACAATTAGTCACTTTCAGAGTTTAGGTTTGGTTTGGTTTACGGCATATCAACCTCAATGGGTTATTTAATGCCAACAAAATCTTTATTGCTGGTAATATGTTTTTCTTCAAAAGTCTATTTCTGGGAATATTTTTCCTTGAAGAAATCTTAGCTGGTCATATTTTTTTCAAAGAATGTACAGTTGTTTGTATTGCTGGTACTTTTTTTTGTTTTAAAATATTGCTGATAATAATTTTTCATTCAAAAACTATTGCTGGTAATATTTTTTTTATTACAAAGTATTTCTGGTATTAAAACCTATTTTTACTCAAGTGTGTTTGTCAACTATTTGCCCATAGCTGGGAATACAACAAGTGCTACCACCCCTGGTAAGGTTGGACCTGGGAACGCCAGCAATTAAGATGTGGTTCCACGCTCCTCAAAACCTGATCAGAGGCCTTGCTTCTGGACTTAGTTTATCGTCATACCCAGGACGGTTCGGAGTTTAGGCAGAGACATTAGAAGTATAGAGTTGAAGTAGACTTTAGAATGAACTGGAAGCCCAATCCTAAACAGGAAACATGGGATAAACCTCTACTCCTATTCAAAAAACTGGGGAGGAGTGTGAACCGGGTGAGATTCTGAATGCACCCCACCGCTCGTATCTCAGTCAGTTGGTACCTTTCTGCATGGTAATTGAATCAGTGTCAAAATATATATATATATATATATATATATATATATATATATATATATATATATATATATATATATATATATATATATAAATTCGAGTGTAGCATCAAGAGAGATTTTCGCGGTGTATAAAAGTTCTTTGTTAGTATGCGCAACGACTAAAAACTGTGAAATTATAAAGACAAAATTAAACATTATTTAATTATCCTCAGCCAGTTTATTTGACAATGAAAGAAGAAAAAAAAAATAACGCACCTGTCTTATACCAAATATTTCTTTCATCGGTAGACACGTTGTTCTAGTGGAATGTTTAAGAGTCTCGGATTTGCGATTACGGAGATTACCTTCCCCTAGTATGTCATGGCGTCCGCTAAGTGACGCTGTTTTTTTTTGTTTTTTTTTGTTTTTATTAAAAAACACCATAGAAGACCGGATATAACCATTTCTTCATTTCTCTTTTGCACTGAAATGCAGCATCGTCAATCTGAACCTTGTCGAAACTGGATAAAATTTCTCCCGTCCCAGGCAACCTACCTACTAGATTTTAACCAAGAGACAAACGCGCATTTCGCACAGCGCACACGAAAAGAAAAACCTCTAATTATTTTTTGAGCTGTCTATACACAAGTATATATTCTCTTCCTTTGTGTCCTACGGACATATTATGTTGAAACACCGGTTGTCGTACGATCACCGAAGTTAAGCAACGTCAAGTCTGGTTAGTACCTTGATGGGTGACCATCTGGGAATATCAGCTTTGATGTGCGGGTGGTGTAATGGATATGAACTCGGAATTGGAGAACTGAGTTTCAATTCAAGTCGGGTTTGTTATATTCACTTATGAATCTACTTCTCTCCTTAACTATGGGTTAATTAGTAGGAATTTTATCAGTAAATCATTATAATACCCCCCCCCCCCAATTCTGTCAATGTAAAAATATTTTCTGGTTTTAAATAACACGCAACGGGTTGATAATCCGTAAAAAAATATCACTCAATCAAATCATTCCCTCTTTTGCACCGAAATGTAACAGGATGAACATGAGTCTTGTCCCCACTGCAGAAAAGTTCCTCACCTCTGGCAACCAACTATTAAATTTAAACACACATACACAAAAGCCTCACGTAAACTATACTCTAACCGCTAAGTCTCAAACGTTCTTTTTTATTTTTCATTTCAGCTATCCGTGTATACGCAAGTATATCTTCTTGTATTGTTACTCCTCTATGTATAAACTAGTGTAGCCGTATTGTCAAAAATGGCAGCAATTGTTAATATTGAGATGCAATGAAAGAAAAATCTTGAAACAGTCTATTAAAACAGATAAAGATTATCCACCATAAAATAGAGGCCAATGAACCATTTAAATAATCCGTTTGTTTTATATTTTTTGACATTCAATAGTGTCTATAGTTCATTGTTCACTTCCGGTATTATACACTTTTGTGCAAATTAATTTAAACAAAACGAATAATTCTGTTATTATTTACTTTTTTTTCGTGTTTTTCCAATGAAACTTGACCCAGTGCACATGTTAGTACTTCGTATGTCCATTCCATGAAATCGTTCCTTGTAGATTGACCGCAGAATCTCGATTGGATTCAAATCAGGAGAGTTCCTCGACCAACCTATAGTTTTTTGATTTGCTTATTGGTAAGGCTTGCTAGTGTGTTCATGCAGCACTACAATTATCGTACTTTTCCTTGAAGTAACTTTCATCGCAGACAATGGCTGTAGGACAACTAATCGACAGCCGAGACAATAGTGTCTGAGCGTGATAAAGATCTGCTGCAATCACAGATGACGCAATATTTTTCAAGGCCAAACAAATTTCATCATACACCCGAAAATAGATTCATATTACTGCACAACACTGCAAGTGACCTAACCTGAGAAAGAAATAGAAATCGATTACACCCTGTCACTCCAGTGGGTCTAAAACTGACCGTATGGGGAATGAAAGGAAACTACAGCAGTTATTTCAATTAATTTGAACAAGGGTGTATGACTCGCTTTTTCCTCAATATCTTTTCATGTTAAAAATGTTATGAGTTAATGTAACAGCGAAATGGAAATATCACTCAGTTAAAAATCATTAACAACTAAACGACATAGACAGCGACGAAAATCGTATTTCAAGACAATGTTGAAGCAAGACAATCACTTAATAGACAAAGGTATCTGAGTACCTCACATGAAAGGCTTGAATAAATAAGACTGCAACCTAAGACACGTAGGAATAAAGGATCTAATTAATTTAAAGGTTCATTTTGTCTAATAAATATTTTTTGTATTGATTATTAAAACGACTAAGGGAAGTAATCACCCATAAAATTACTAATTTGCGTTGATTTACCTCCCTTTTTTAGTACAGATGGGACAGGAAATATATAAATTAATACACACTGATAATTACTATGTGCTTTGATATATGTGTAAAATCCCTCTATGGGTTGAAGTATATACCTTTTGAAAACATTGAATTTGTCACCAATCTAACTGTCAACCTCGTACTGATGTAAGCGTGTGGGTTAAAAATCCTCTACACGGTATAGCGGTGACACCGACGATGATTTTGCCAACAGCATTTTTCGTGTACGTAAATGGAGAAGACCAGCGTTCGACAGCTTGCATTGACAAAACGGCAGTGGCAGGTCTGTTGCACGAGTTGATGCGTCAGGGAAAATAAAGTTCGTTAGTGAGTTCTGTTTTACTTATTCTTTTTTTTTTATTTGGCATTCCATTTGCATTGCATTCCTTATGTGCAAAAGCCGAGGCAACAGTGAATTACGACAAAATTCCAAAGTAAACTCGACCGACGTCTACAACGATGACGTTCACATCTATCTATCTATCTATCTATCTATCTATCTATCTATCTATCTATCTATCTATCTATTGATGGCAATACTTTTTCTATCTATTGATGACAATAACTTTTCTATCCATTTATCTATGACAATACTTTTTCTTTCTATCTATCTATCTATCTAGCTATCGATGACAAGACTTTTTCTATGTATCTATTGATGGCAATACTTTTTCTATCTATCTATTGATGACAATAACTTTTCTATCCATTTATCTATCTATGACAGTACTTTTTCTATATATCTCTCTATCTATTGATGACAATACTTTTTTCTATCTATCTATCTATCTATCTATCTATCTATCTATCTATCTATTGATGACAAGACTTTTTCTATCTATCTATTGATGACAATACCTTTTCTATCCATTTATCTATGACAATACTTTTTCTTTCTATCTATCTATCTATCTATCTATCTATTGATGACAAGACTTTTTCTATGTATCTATTGATGACAATACTTTTTATCTATCTATCTATCTATCTATCTATCTATCTATCTATCTATCTATTTGATGACAATACTTTTTCTATCTATCTATCTATTGATGACAAGACTTTTCTATCTATCTATTGATGACAATACCTTTTCTATCCATTTATCTATGACAATACTTTTTTCTATCTATCTATCTATCTATTGATGACAAGACTTTTCTATGTATCTATTGATGACAATACTTTTATCTATCTATCTATCTATCTATCTATCTATCTATCTATCTATCTATCTATCTATCTATCTATCTGATGACAATATTCTTTTCTATCTATCTATCTATTGATGACAAGACTTTTTTATCTATCTATTGATGACAATACCTTTTCTATCCATTTATCTATGACAATACTTTTTCTATCTATCTATCTATCTATTGATGACAATACTTTTTCTATCTATCTATCTATTGATGACAATACTTTTTCTATCTATCTATCTATCTATCTATCTATCTATCTATCTATCTATCTATTGATGACAATACTTTTTCTATCTATCTATCTATTGATGACAAGACTTTTTCTATCTATCTATTGATGACAATACCTTTTCTATCCATTTATCTATGACAATACTTTTTCTATCTATCTATCTATCTATTGATGACAAGACTTTTTCTATGTATCTATTGATGACAATACTTTTTCTATCTATCTATCTATCTATCTATCTATCTATCTATTGATGACAATACTTTTTCTATCTATCTATCTATTGATGACAAGACTTTTTCTATCTATCTATTGATGACAATACCTTTTCTATCCATTTATCTATGACAATACTTTTTCTATCTATCTATCTATCTATTGATGACAAGACTTTTTCTATCTATCTATCTATTGATGACAATACTTTTTCTATCTATCTATCTATCTATCTATCTATCTATCTATCTATTGATGACAATACTTTTTCTATCTATCTATCTATTGATGACAAGACTTTTTCTATCTATCTATTGATGACAATACCTTTTCTATCCATTTATCTATGACAATACTTTTTCTATCTATCTATCTATCTATTGATGACAATACTTTTTCTATCTATCTATCTATTGATGACAATACTTTTTCTATCTATCTATCTATCTATCTATCTATCTATCTATCTATTGATGACAAGACTTTTTCTATGTATCTATTGATGACAATACTTTTTCTATCTATCTATCTATCTATTGATGACAATACTTTTTCTATCTATCTATCTATCTATCTATCTATCTATCTATCTATCTATCTATTGATGACAAGACTTTTTCTATCTATCTATTGATGACAATATCTTTTCTATCCATTTATCTATGACAATACTGTTTCTATCTATCTATCTATCTATCTATCTATCTATCTATCTATCTATCTATCTATCTATCTATCTATCTGGCTATTGTCAGACACAGGGTCTTCCAGCAGCCACCCTCTTTACCCAAGGCAGCACTAACTCCCCGAGACACTTGACGCTGGCTTCCCTGTTCTGTTTGAAGCCCCCCCCCCAACAAATTCGTGATTGCTTTTTGCTTATCAGAACGATCAGAGGAAGTTCTTCGAGTCATCGTACTATCGTAAACACCATTAGACTCATCCAACTCTTTCCGAAATACCAAGCACCACAACATGCCGTTTCCAAATTTCTGGCTGAGAGAATTGCGTCATGGTCCTTTTTTTTCCCCAGGCAGTACCCAAATGAACCTACGATACTGTGCAAAATCAAAAATACTGGAGAAACTCAAAAACAAACAACGTGCATGCGCATGCGCGAAATTAAAACTATGAATTGCCGACAATTTACCCATTGCACTATATATATATATATATATATATATATATATATATATATATATAGTGCAGTAATCGATAGCGGCTTGGATAGAGGAATTCCAGTCGAATCCATTACATTCACTTACGTGCTAATATCCTTGGGAAAGGTATGAATCCTCTTCTTCTAACGCTATAGGTAAATAGCAGGACAGACTGCGTTCTTTAGCCTTGGATGGCAACTGGTCTAGGAGAAGGAAAACTCTGAGTTTAGGGACCTTGTTGCATGTAGTGCACAGGTCTCTGTATTCGGCCCTTCAAAAAGAAGACCTTCACCACTATAATCAAATCAAATATGCTGGTGTCTGACTGTCGGGTCGTAGGAACGGAGCTCCTTGAGTCTCATACGTCGAATACGGTGAATATATATATATATATATATATATATATATATATATATATATGAAAGTGAACATAGAAGTCAACACTTAGAGGCGACAGTCTGTTTTATGTTAGATGCAATCGTCAGGCCACGAGTGCTGTTATTTTTCTCGGCTATTTCTGTATATACCAGTCAGTGGTGCATTGTGGGTAGTCTATTTAGCGGGTCATT